CAGAATGAAATGAGTGGGCTGTGAGTTTAGTATTTTTAAGCAGAGGTCAATAATTTGTACGGCCCACGGAGGATGTTGTAAAAATTGAAATGGCCCTTGAGAGGAAAAAGGTTCCCCACCCCTGGTCTATACTGAGCTTTATGTCAGACACCATCATAACAAAGATGGACAGTCACATTTTGTTGGACCGGTTTGACTCTGAATGTGGCTGCCCGTGAATGTTTGGCTTTTCTTGCCATAAACAGTGTCTGCAATGTATCTTCCTTGCTCTATGGCTTTTAGATTAAGCGGTGACGAGCTCATTCATGCAAGTATGAGGGCAAGCCTACTCTGGTTGTTGCTTATGAAGAAAGAACAAATACATTGTAGTACAAATGGGTTAAAAAGGAAGGGGTGATTCTTGTGTGTCATAAAATGCCATCAGACTGTTGATTTGAATGTGCACATCTATCCCACTCACCTGGGACTTGAACTCGCCTTATCTCTGTTCATTCATATCTTTTAATGTTCTTGTTATAAACACAGGCCAGCCTCACAGGAGATGAATGCACTACCTTGTAAACTCTTAGTCATGTAACTGTATTTTCTTCCTCCCTCCACAGGTCACTTTCCTCCTTCCCTCCCCCTGCTCCCCTAGCATCCGTCACAGCGCTGGTTGTCATGGAGAACTCTTCAGTGGCGTCAGCATCGTCGGAGGCTGGGAGCACACGCTCGCAGGAGATAGAGGAGCTGGAGCGCTTCATCGACAGCTATGTGCTGGAGTATCAGGTGCAGGGGCTTCTGGGAGACAAGGCGGATGGGGACTTGGACCTGGACAATGGTGGCAAGGTGCCACAGGTCAGACTCTTATTATTTCACTGGATGACATGCAGAAAAAAATGTTCTTAGTACAGACTCTGGTGGTTTCTCTGGTTTCTGTCATTCAAATATATTATTGTGGGGTACAGCCTGCATCAAAACAGCTGCCCCTAATGGCATTTACATTATTTCCTACACTAAAATAAACCCACTTTATTTAATAAAGCACCTTCTCCCCCCCCCCCATGTCTCTCCTCCAGTGGACAGATGACTGTAACAACAAGAAAGATGGCAGCTGGACGTCTTCACGGGGAAGAGGCTCAACCAAGCCAGTAAGTGTTTCTGCTGGGTTCCGCTTATTTCACAGCTTTGGAGGTGACCATTAATTATGCATTCAATAATCAGTCACAGTTTAGCTTTGCAAAGCATAGTCATTATCCCACTAAAGGGCTGTACCGGCCAAAATGCTTGGATCAGATGTACCCTGCTGTCCATCACAAGGAGTGTAGTGAATGGGAAGAAGGACCTATCAATGTCCATCTCAAAAAATATATGGTTGGTCTTTATTTTAGACCAGACAATAATGAAGCAATAACACATGCTGCAGCATATTCATGAGTTCATAACTGTTGCATCATGCATCCCCTTTACTTTTTGAAGATGTATAAATATATTTAAAGTCTGACAGCACACAAAGCAAGACTCTAACTTTTACAGTGTAAATAAAGCTAAAACAATGGGGAGGGAATAAAGATGTTTTGAAATTAAAACACAAAGCTCTGACCTGTGTTTTAGTCACAACACAAACGACTTATTTAAAGGGGCCCTATTATGCAAAATCCACTTTTTCATGTATTTTATACATAAACATGTGGCCCCTCTGTGTAAAGAGATTCTGAAAGTTCAGCAAAAAAGTTTGCTTACTTTTTGTCCTGATCCATTTATATAAAAACCTGTCTGAAAATGAGCTGATCAGATGTTGGCCACTTTATGATGTCATAACGATGTTTTGGCTTGTGTAACCAGTAGCCCATAACCAACCAAGGTGACCCCCCCCCACCTTATCACCTGAATCTCCTCCTACAGGGTGTCCGCGGGGTCTTAAAAAGTATTAAACGTAATTTTCCAAGGTATTAAATGTTGTAGCTTGTTTTCAATAAGTATATAAATTGTCCAAAGAGGTTGTATTCTACAGTTTGCCTGAATGTAATCATGCATAGGTGTGTAGTGTGATTCTGTGTAGTTTATTTATGGCATCCCGTTGGATTTGACCAGTGGCGGACTGGCCATCGGGACTTTCGGGACGAATCCCGATGGGCCGGTACCGAAGTGAGCCGGTCGGACGATGTGGGCCGGTCGGATAAGTCACGAGCACCCCCCGTTGACAATTTACTAGTGGTACCGAAGTGGGCCGGTCGAGATGCCCGGGCTGATTTTTAGTCCCAGTACGCCCCTGGATTTGACATCATCTGAACAGGACATCGCACGCTCACTGCTTGATAGCGCGCAAAGGTCCGTTTACGCCGGTTGTTAAACAACATCGTTATGGGGAAATGCAAGTTTGCGTCCAAATGGTTGGAAGATAAGCAGGAAGGACAATCAATACTGTATATAGTAAATGTGAGGTAAAGTGTGTCGCCAAATGTAACCGGTTAAAACTCGAAGTGGCGATGAGGTCTTAAAATATAAGGAAAAAAGGTCTTAAAAGGTATTACATTTGACTTCAGGATTCCTGCATATACCCTGTCCTAGAGCACCATTGTGTTCTTTTTAACCAAATAACTCTGAGGGGTGTGGGGAGTGGCTCCGTATTTTAATCTAAAGCTACAGACACAGAATGAGCACTTTTGAAACAGGGCTGAAACAGAGGGGATTATGGGATGCTACAATGCATGATCTGTATTTGGAGCCAAACACTTCAGAGACATGTTTTGTATATATCTGAGACCTAAAATATATTGATGAAAAACAGTATAATAGGGGACCTTTAATGTAGCACATGTCCGATTCACTTTGTGACCCATGAATCTATGTTGCTAGTCTGCAGTAACTGAGAGTAGTACCTGTATGTTTTAACCTGATTCTACTGCTACCTCCATGTTGTTGTCATCCTCCCTCTGGTCACTGGAGCATCTCATTGACTAAAGCGTAGGTTTGCTCAGCTCTCAGCTCTGTATGTGCTGGTTAGTTTTTTCCAATCCGTCAGCTCAAATGTTTGGCTAGAAGTGACTGCACAACAAATCCACAGCTCTGCACACTCTGCTAGCCTGTGGTTGGTGTAGAAAGTACGCTCTTAACTAACATGAGATACTGTGCGGCCTGAGCCAGTAATTGAATCATCTTAAATGAATTATTAGTCAGTTAGTCCTCATAATATCTGAGCGTGTGTGTGCTGCTCTGCTCAGACAGTACAGTCTCGGGGATTCAGAGTATTATTGCTCATCACAGATTTAGAGGTATGATTCACGAGAGGCCTGTACTACGAAGCCGGATTTTCGCTTAGCGGGCTAACTTCAGGGAAAACTCTGGGCTTCCGGTCCTACAACGCTGGTTCACTTTT